CTAAAAATAGGTTGTGATGCGGAAGAGATGAAGTCTCTTCATTATCAAATCATTAATCATCTATATAAAGCATTCGCCAACTGAATGCTTCTTCTTGAAACCTCGAAATTGACTTGTTCATTCTAGTCCTTCGATAATACAACACTGGGCAGCCACAACTGTTTGAGATCACTTATTTGATAATAGAAGCCACTTTTACCCGCAAACGGGATGCAGTTCCTTGGTCGATATGCAGTTACATCCCATTTGAATGAGATTTTCTGACATTACAACATACGTATTTTGATGGTGGGTCCCATCGTAAAAATCAGCACTGGTTTTCGGACCTGGTGTAACAGTGATATTAAAGAGGTTATTCGCTAATCCCAAAAGGTTTCAGATAAATGCATACGAAACACCATCTTTAAGCTGACATGAAAAATTCACAATATACTCTGTGAAACAAATAATAACTGGACAGCAAGACTAAAAATTCTAATCAAGGCTGTTTATTGTTCGACCGTCGAGTTCTGAAAGTTGAAGGTAGCATGTTAAAGTAGTATGATTGGTTTCAGCCAGTGGAAAGCCCTACCAACATTTGGGTAATTTCAGTTCGTTTTTAAACATTGCTCTTTATTTATTAAGGTAATAACCAATTCTACTTGATGTATTGCATGTTTATGCGAGTGAAGTATGCATTCATTCCCAGTGCTATATAGAGAACTGACAGAAGCAGGGAATATGGCTCACTGGATTCCGACCCAGTGGTTACCTGCGGAACCTGAAGGTCTGGGTTCGATAACTGGCGGGACGGCGTCATGGGTGCGCACTGCTGAGGATTCCCATACTAGGACGAAACAGCTGTCCAGTGCTCCCAGGTCTCCGATGTTTCTCTCACTGATATCAATCCATGATGAGTTCCAACCTGAAACCGATAAATTCCCACAAACTCAAAAGTGAATCTTCAATAGTAATTTGACATCTTTGTGGGTGGTAGTAATCAAGAAGGATACATTTTATGAACATTTATCAAATTACTATATCTGTGGAAGCTATCAAACTACACTGTTAGTGTAGATTATATCATCTTTGTTGCATTCTGGACAAATGAACCCCTCTGCAACTGCACTGACTCAGATAGTGTCACCTGCTTGTACACAGAAAGTTTAAATGGCACTCAGTTGTCTAAAACAGTTGCTAGTCGATTTAACCATGTGATAGTCCCGTTAGTTGTCGTGTGTCTGTAATATTCAACTACCGTCTTAACTTGAAATGGCAGAAGGCTTCCAAACAATATTGACTACCTGATTCTTTCACCGAAATTTGTTCTTGTATGGTATTCAGTGACAAAAATAAGCTGACCTAATTGTTTATATTGACGCTGTCATGGGTTAATTAATTAATCAAGTCACTTCAAGCAACAGTAACACTTTGTTTTACTTCATTAATCCGGATTTGCTGTAAATCAGTCTGGCAACATCACCTCATAAATAATGGTCACTAAATAGCTGTTAAACATACTTAGATTCTTGTTCAATACATTCAGACTGTATTTTGGTCTCGTCTTTGAATTATAACCACAACTGTATGTGGAAACCTTTGATAACTCAACATAAACAGAGCACATTTTAAAAAATCAGTTTTCAAAATAATGATAGGAAAACACAAAACCAACGCAGGGCCTCTCACACAAGTGCATCGGTTGACGTTGCCATACTTCACAGGAGCATGAAAAGAACAGGTGGAAAGAAAGGGAGTGGTAGAGAAGCAAACAAAATTGCATGAGAGAATAAACAATTTGAAGAAAAAGGTAGTGAAAACATTTAAGGTTCAGAAGACGTCAAAGACTGCATGCATCTGTGGCATGGGGACCGATCTTTTGCCATTCACCCGAAAATCTCAACCAGTGGTTCCTATCATCTCGGAGAACCAACTCAGGCATCTACACCTACCGACACGGATCAGACCGGCATTTAGAAACTTTATGCACTGATGCCTCGTTTTAGCCTGGTCATCTTGAGCTTTCTAATCTAATCCAACTTCTGCTAGCATTGCATATCAAGGTAGGCGGTGGCTCGGCATGTGCAGCACATGTTCAAGACACCTGAGTCACTGAAGGTTCACAACTCTATACGATGAATTTCCTTGCTTGGGTAGAACCCTCTGTCGAACTCCGATGCTGTTTACATGATAATTCCATCATAGGCGAGCAATGTTACGAAGAAACCTATGATTAAAACCCTGTAACCGCTTCATATCTTCTACCTTTAATGGTCATGTCTCAGTCGTAAAACAGAACAGGACGGACTGCAGAGCAATATATTTGTCCGCCAATAGGTAGTCGGATATCTCTCCAGAGGTAACGCAAGTTGGCAAATGCAGATCGGACTTTCTGTATCCGAGCTGAGATTTCGTCAGCAACTACCCTATTCGGGCTGATACGACTCCCTAAGTCAGTGAAGTGGACGACGGATCCCACCACTTCACTTCCTACGCCTAAACTAGGAGTAATTGTAGATCAGTCCTACATTATCATATTACACTTGACAAGTGCGAAACGCATGCCAAATAAACTCAGGTTTTTGCTTAACGCATTTACAAGACCCTACATTTTGTTAGCGTCTTCACCTAACAGGACAATATTGTCTGCATACTCTAAGTTAACCAGGTGACTAGGAAGTAGATCAGTCCTTGTGAAGTTGGACGTACTTAAGGTTATGTCTATTAGTACGTCTATAACGAAATTAAACAGGAGCGGTGATAATAGGTGTCCCCGGTAGATAACATCAAAAGTCATCAATTCACATGGTATTTCTCCATAAGCGCTTATACGGCTGCCTGAGTTCGAGTAGAGAGCTGTGATTCGCGTTATAAACTTATCTGGTACTACTTTCACAGTCAGACACTGCCACACTTCACGGTCGATAGAGCAAAATCTCACCTTCAGGTCAAGAAGTGTGGGAAGTGTTGCTCGGTGTTAGGTATGCCTGTATTCTAAGACCAGTCAAGGGGTGAAAATCTGATCGATGCAATTTTGTTCAAGTCGGAAACCCGCCCCATTTTCTCTAGTCTGTTATTATTGAACTTCATTTGTGTTGGATAACCATGGACGTGACATTAGTCAAAGTGACTCCCCATGCCTGTCATAGGAAAAATCCTCTCATTATAAACTGGAATGATTAGTAAAGTAGGATCAGTCTGATGGGACTACCTATGACTACTATACACTGCCCATTAGTTTCATCACTCTAATTAGCAACTTTCCCCTGTGAAAACGTCGGGGGGCAAACTGTCAGGTCCTGCTGCTCTGGGTCGTCTAGGTTCGACACATCTTTCTCAACCTCGACGAGTTGGAGGACCAACTTTAACGCCTCATTTAGGTTCGGGCTGGAGGCTTGGCAACTGAGGCGTTGCTATGGGTAAGTTGGACTGTGACTCAAAGGGCTGCACCAAAAGTTCTAATCGTTAGTCCTACGAGGCTACCAGAGTCCAGTTTTTTCCATTGTTTTACTCTTCTTCCTGCAATTGTTCTTAATCAGCCTAAGTATTTGCTGGGCTTTACCCAGTAATGATGCCTGTCCCATCTCTTTCGTTTTCACCACTTACCACTGATCGCTCTTCATTACGGCCAGAGTCTGATGGAATAAATCTCGTATCAACCAGTTAGGATGTCATGGAAATACATTTACGTTAGCTAACTTTCAGATGTGGGTTACCAGTTGTCTTTACCGGTTTCTACAGCATACTTAATATCACACCAGGTTTCCCTAGGATGAGGATTGCTATTTAGTGCAGACAAATGCTTCACTGTACTACACGATATTTCTTAATCAAGAAAATACAGGCTCTACTGATTTCTGTTTCCTACAACCAGTAAAGTGGAAACATACATGTGCTCATACTAACGCATGATAGTTCAAGAAGATACTGCAGACTGAAGTAATCGTCCGCCGATCCCCTTCAACGATGGCTTATGGCAATATGACCAAACCATTATTGGTCTGATGTCGGTGAATGCCATACGAGACTGCGTCTCTCCTTACAATTGAAGTTAATGCTGTCCAGAAACAAGTGATTGTCAGAAAAAGTTGCAACAGACAATCACTGGTGTTAGTTCGTTGGCATGGGATCTAACAAATGCTTACAATGTACTTTCCCGATTGGCTCAGGTTTCCTAATTGGGTGTTAAAGTTCTTGGCTATTATGACCATATCAGCTGATGATGAAACACCTTTGCATCTTCCGGACTAAGTTCGGTGGGTGCGAAGGCGGAGATCACGAATAGCCATCAGTCGACTTCACTATCCTCTCTAGTTCTTAAAGATCCATTCAGTCGAATAGCACGCAGAAGGCTGTCAACTAATAACCCCAGCTAAAGTGCATTTTCTGTTCTACAATGCTATGCCTACACCAGCAAATCCAAGAAAGTCTTCAAATACTCGTTAGATGAAGTGCAGAATAAAACGAGAGTAACTGTTACAAAGGCTTTTGTTCTGATTTGCATATTTAATGCAATCTTACTACCTTAAGGTACCAATTAGTACCATGATTCCCTCCAAAATGTAAATGGTTGGTCTGGATGCTGGAAAAGGGCCCGAGGTGGCCAGACTAAAACATGGCACCAATGTATGAAGTCTCTGACTGTTGGTTTAAGCCATGTAGGACGATGCAGACTAGGTGGTTGGGGTCCACGGGACAAGAGGAACCAGTGGTTGGAGACCCTAGGTGATATGGCTCAGAACCGAAGTCAGTGGCGCAGATGTATACACACATTATCCTCATCTTAACAACGCTATACCGAATCTCACTATTTTGTCACTCCTCTTTCCTTTCTTCTCATACTTTATATTTCTTTTGACTGCATTCACTTATCTTCATCCTTCACCTCACTACCTTTTTACTTGATGTGCTGATATGAGGTGTGGCAACTCGGACCGTTACGCAGTAATGCCTGGTCCTATGTTGATAATGATAATGATGATGATGATGGATGCTGAATCCCAGTAACATGATACACTTACCTCCAAGAACTGCAATTTATGATTAACGAGACAAGCCAGACCTCCAATCGGAATTACAAAATAGGGAAGGCGAAAGAGATGGTCATTTGAGTCTAAAGTTGCTTTGAACTTGACGTACATGAAGTAAACCGTCAAATAAGACATCACAATGAAAGTAATTTTCATGATCGTGTTGTATGCAGATATATAATAAATGAACAAGTCAACATATCGAGTGGTAAACACCAAAGCGAACATAATTTGGGTTTTACCAGAAAGACCTAGAAGTGGTTAGTAATACCTATGCAAGCAACTCACCTTTGCAAGAACGCGTCGAATAAATTTTTAGTAGCAATATCAAGAGTGCAGCAAGGTGGGAAAGGTCCCCTAGTAATCTGAAGATATTCATTGCTACGATCTCCCTGACAGAATACAACAAAACTGGCCAACAGAAATGTATTTGAATAAGAGTCACTAAATTTACCGAACAATGTCCAATGCACAATATCTAATCCATTATCTAGTATCTTTTTACAAGCTAGTGTAAACCAGTTGATTTCTTCGCACTCGCTTCTATGTCTTGCGAAATGGTTCCAGGTCTTTGGTGGATTCCGATGCAGTAGGTCTACCCATTCGATTGCTGTAGCTCTGATTAGCCCAACAGGCGGTCGGGTGTTGGTTGAATTTGTACGGAGTGTTGTTGTTTTCTTTTTTTTCCAAGGGCTGTGGTTCAGATGGGTTCTTCAAGTGTCACACAGCAGACAATTGGTCGGACTGTAAAAAGGAGACGTAAAATATGTGCAGGGAAATCAAGGGAAAGTGCAAAGAAAAACAAATGGAAAAAACGAAAGAAAAGGAAGATTGGGAAAACGCAAACCTCACGGAGGAAGAAACAATGGTAGGCTTATGAAGAGGGTTAAAGAGAGAGCTTTCGTTAGTCTGAGAATGTAAAGTCAGGTGGAAGAAGAATAAACAACATTATAGGACGAATGGGAATATAGTAATTCTCTTAGTAGGAGACGGCTACTGGAGTTGAAAGTATTTTCTATCAAACTAAAGAGAGGGGACGAAAATTCATTTATTCATCTTGTTTTTTTCCCATTCAACTTCTATCTAAGGGGTCTACCTGCGGTGCTAGGATTACCTTCAGGTCATCTTCCCCTATTTACGTTTTTTTCTTCATTCGTTTCACTTTTTTACCGCTACCTTACCATTCACTTTCAGGCACCCACACAGATAGGATTCACGACAGTCCCCTAACCTTACCAGCAACCCGTAGCCCCCCAGCTACTCTATAAATTACAACTTACTAACCCACAAAACATCCACCTCACTGAGGCTAAAAGCAAGAAAGCAGAGGGGGTTTCCTCGTCCACTGCAGGAGCGAATTGAACAACTTGAACCAAGCTCTAAGAACTAGATGCGAGAGATCAAAAACCACCAGATTTCTAGGCTCGCACTATCAGTACTGAATACTGGATTTTATTGGATAGTGCAGCTTCAAATCAGAGAACTTATGGTCACTTGTATTCTTCTTCTTTATCTTGAGGGTTGAGTCTTAAGTATCCATGTCTGTGTCTGATTAGTTCTCGCGTAAGTTCTCGTGGAAACGCTAGTACTCACTAATCTCAGTCTCCGCAATTAACAGGAGATTGCATGACTTCAACATTCGTCTAGCTCTTCTATCAGCCCCAGTGCTTTGGAAAAATACCCGGTTTCCATTTCGAGTCATCTTGAGTGATGATGCAGCTCCGTCCCACTGACGAGATCTCCAGTCGTGAGACAGTCGGAGTCAATTCCTATGCCAGTTCATTCAGGTCCCGACACTATCCAACATCCATGATGTCAGAGTGGGAAACTGATAGTTTCGATCTCTTGCGTCTGGTTCTTGGGGACTGGTTCTTATCGTCTAGTTTTACCCTGCAGGGAGTAATGAAAAATCTGCTGATTTCTTGCTTTAAGCTGTGGTGAGATGATTGTTCGCGTTGATCAGTAATTATACTTTGTAAATTGAGATGGTTAGGGAGCCACGGGCTGCCGGGACGAGTGGCGGTTTTTCGTGACTCTCACGTATATAGATGCCTGAAAGGTGGTGATAGATATCGCGAGTGTACTTACTAGAGAAGAGTTAGCAGATAACGAAGTTGTATCAAACGGAGGTGGTGAGTGGCAAGTTGGAAGGAAGTAGTGGTGGGCTAGGGGGTCAAGTATAAGTCTGTGGTAAGCCATACTAATTAACGCAACCACTCAAATGTTTGTGGATGAGTCTACTGGCTAGCTTTGATGAAAGCCCATAGCACAGAATTCCACAAAGCCCACACGCTTAAGGAGAAGCAGTTTGACCTCGGCTTCGTGTTACCTCTCTGATGTGCTATCTCCATGAGGTTCCCCGGTGATTGCCACCACATTGCAGACGATACTATTTTACTTACCTGACCTACCTGTTGGATGATCTTGTAGGCCATGATGTCATCCCTCTTTCCGTGACCACTGGAAGTGAATAGGCTCAGTCATCTCAGTCTGTCAGAGTATGCCTTTCCCCTTGGTCCCATAACCAACTTTGTCGCTTATCTTCATATTTTCTGGCGCAGGTTTGAGTCTCTCTTGAGTCCTGGGAGTCCCACCGTGTTGAAGGGCCCTGGGTGCGACCTCAAGTAGGATTGGAAGACCTTGAGAAACAGTTCAGGGAGGACAGCACCAAGCTGTTTATCCAAGGAGTGCATTTCGGTGGTCACTCTAGCTGCCATTCCCTCGCAGTTAGGGGTGGTGTTCGGGCGTCACAGAATTTTCTCGTGGATACCATAGTTATTTCGGTGATGCCCAGCTTACATTGGAATTTGGCCATCCTTGCTCAGTGGGTACTGACGTGAACTACCTGCAATTCTCCGGGCTGAAGTTCAAGCGATTTCCCGACGGCCACAGTTCCGATTGCTGTAGGTTGTTTCAGAGCGCTGCATAGTTGCTTCTTCGTTTACTCACCCAAAAATTTTTATATCATCAGCGTAGGGGAGGATAGGTGAAGAGATTTTATTAGGCAAGCAGTTGACAAATAGGATGGGCTGGGGTAGTCTCAGGGTTGCTCCTTGAGACACCTCTGATGTCAGTGGTCTTTACTACGATCGTATTCTGACTTCAATGTACGAATCTCCGCCTCCTGAGCACGTCCTGAATCAGGAAGGCAAAGGCTTTTTATGCCGGCTAATGCGACCTCGTAAATGCAGTTGGCGTATGGGACACGGTCAAATGCATTAACTGGGTCTGGAGAAATAGCATGCTCTGGTTTTCTGTTGTCTCAGCCAAAAGCCCAGTCGTCCCAGGTAGAAGTGAAGCCACCTCTAGACTTCTTGGCACACCTCCATTGTGACCTGTGATAAGATTAACTCCTTTACTTATCGACCTCTTTGTCGACACGCAGGGTGCAAGTTGCTGGGTTAATTAGTGGTCCACTAGCCAGGTCTGTCCGACTTCTAAACTTGTCTCCCGGAACCCTTATGCTGCATCGGCTGCGAATTCTTTTTTACTTTTATAAGTGCTTCAAATGACCGTCTAATGTATCGCTTTTTATCGCGCACTACAATAAGTTCATGCTACCAAAGTGGTCATACCTGTAGACAGGTTTCTTTCCATATAGATTATGTCGTGTAAAATATGCTGTCACTAAGTTGGACTCCTTGAATGATGAAAGCCATTTGAACCAACTCTGCTTTGTGCCTGGACGTGCCTCTCCGTCGCGTACTTTAGCCATGGGGTTTTCATCGACTGTCGGTGTGTTGCATTTGGCACATTGTGACGGGTGGTACCAAGGATTATTCCCCTCACCCGTGTCCGGTGTTTACCGATTTAGAGATAGGTCCAGTCCACAGGAACATCCAAGCGTACTGCATTTCCGTCGGGCCCCCAGCGTGTGGCATCATCTACTTGAGCTGAAAGGCCGGCAGTCTAAGCCGCTCCCTTCAGCTCCTGACTGAAAGGTCTTGCGAACCTCTACTCCACTGCAAAGGGGATGGAAGGAGTGTTGAAGTCACTAGCCATACGAAAGGAAACGAAAGCCCGAACATTTACATGATGATGCGTGAAAGGCTACAGACCAGATTTCATCTTCGGACACCTTCATGTTTTCCTTTACTCTTGACCCTAATTCGCCCCAGGTAGTTGATGGCTTTTGCGTAGTAGACAGTAGCTGTGTAAGGCCCCCATATGAAGTGAAGGGGGTCTCCACACCCTGGGCAAACGTGCAAGAACCACTTTCATGGTTGTCTTTTCACGAATTTTCAGTGCTGTTGGAGTGCTTTGCTGTCATAATGTACCTGTCAGTGGTACAGGTTGCCTGCCACTACCTCACTGACTACTGGGAGGACTTTAAAGCAGATACTGCACGCTGCGATGCGACCTGCCGTCGGTGAAAATAATGCACTGAGTTCGGGTGAACTGTTGATGGCTACCTTTTTCTTGGGCTTGCTAGGTCATACCCTCCTTTTAGGAGTAGTCCGATCACCATCAGGCCTGAAACTACTTCACTGCGTAATAAGGCTACTCTGGATTATTTATGGTGGCAATGGGTATCTTAGAAACAAGGGGGTGACCAGCTCTTTAGGGGATCGGTATCCTGCTCTACCTATAAGTGGCCGTAGATACAGCTTGGAGTGTCCGTTGTAGCATCATTGTCCGTCCCAGTCAACGATGGCGTTATTCACGTCACTGCCGCAGACCTACAGCTTTGGAATGGCAACATCACAGAAATAAATGAATGATTTATTCTCATATTATGAATTCAGCATGGGAGAAACCGGTTTACGGGCATCGTCAAATTGGCATTGTTTAAGAAATTTATATTTGAGCAGCCCTGAATACTACGGGAGACAGGACTTTAAGCTCTGGTAATATCAGTAGTGCCTGCAGCTCATGAAACAAACAATTAAAACCACCTTTCAGAAAACATACGGCGTTTGTGAGTTTAGATCATCTTTACCCATTTTTCACCCTTAGATGACATCAAAGTCTGCAGATATTCTGTGTTTGCTTTACAAGTAGTAAACATGTCTGGCTGGTCTGCACATTTCCACATTTCGTCAAAGACCTCGGTTTTAACATCACTTCACATGCCCACAGCTTGACCTACCGGGAGGAATTCACTTCAACGGTTTCGGGAATCGGCAAGCGTGTATTTAATCATTTAGTCCAGGTGAATATCTGAGTTTAAGTATTCCTCGCTCTTCAAGTGTTACCGTTCACGGCAATATAGATTTATGTCAGAAGATGTAGTCGTTGTGGTGCATAGAATCACAAATTAAAGTTGTGGCGATGGTTTTTATATGTATTTTAAATTGAAGTTTGCAGCATTAACAAGGAGGCATATCTCCTATTAACCATCTCCTACTAAGTGAAATAACGGACGAATTGTTTGCGTACCGCTGTCGCGAATACCTTGCCTTTACATTGACTGCATGAGTTGGCCTCTATGGCTTAATTACTTGTCTTGATTTTCCCTGTTATCGGGAC